ATGCTGCAGCTGGAGGTGGACACGGAGCAGGGCGGCCTGACGGTCAACGAGAGCTTCCTGGTGGATTTTGGGAAGGAGCCCGACGGGCCCTGCCTGGCGCACGAGATCCGCTACCCCGGTGGGGACTGCACCTCCGATATTTGGGTTTAGACACCTTCTGCCGCCCCCAAAGCCTCTCCACACCCCAAAATCCCAGTGCACGAGGGCTTCGGGGGGTTCACACACTCAGCAAACCGCCGGTGACCCGTGCGTCCCGTGCTTGCTTAAATAAAAGTGGGTGGTTGTTGTCCTCCTCCTCCTCCTCCTCCTCCGCAGCTCTCCTCGCCTCCAATCTTGTTTTTGACCCGTTTTCAGGAGCCGCAAAACCGATGTGTGACCAAACCAGGGACACGACGGCGCCGACCTCTTCGGAGACGGGGTGTTCCTAACGCGCCCCTTGTGCCGCCGGGCCCGGCCCTGGGAGCGTCTTCTCCCGAAAAAGCAAAGCTGGTTGCTGGTGCCCCATGTCCCCATCACCCTGGGGACCTGCCCTGCTGGTGCCCCATGTCCCCATCACCCTGGGGACCTGCCCTGCTGGTGCCCCATGTCCCCATCACCCTGGGGACCTGCCCTGCTGGTGCCCCATGTCCCCATCACCCTGGGGACCTGCCCTGCTGGTGCCCCATGTCCCCATCACCCTGGGGACCTGCCCTGCTGGTGCCCCATGTCCCCATCACCCTGGGGACCTGCCCTGCTGGTGCCCCATGTCCCCATCACCCTGGGGACCTGCCCTGCTGGTGCCCCATGTCCCCATCACCCTGGGGACCTGCCCTGCTGGTGCCCCATGTCCCCATCACCCTGGGGACCTGCCCTGCTGGTGCCCCATGTCCCCATCACCCTGGGGACCTGCCCTGCTGGTGCCCCATGTCCCCATCACCCTGGGGACCTGCCCTGCTGGTGCCCCATGTCCCCATCACCCTGGGGACCTGCCCTGCTGGTGCCCCATGTCCCCATCACCCTGGGGACCTGCCCTGCTGGTGCCCCATGTCCCCATCACCCTGGGGACCTGCCCTGCTGGTGCCCCATGTCCCCATCACCCTGGGGACCTGCCCTGCTGGTGCCCCATGTCCCCATCACCCTGGGGACCTGCCCTGCTGGTGCCCCATGTCCCCATCACCCTGGGGACCTGCCCTGCTGGTGCCCCATGTCCCCATCACCCTGGGGACCTGCCCTGCTGGTGCCCCATGTCCCCATCACCCTGGGGACCTGCCCTGCTGGTGCCCCATGTCCCCATCACCCTGGGGACCTGCCCTGCTGGTGCCCCATGTCCCCATCACCCTGGGGACCTGCCCTGCTGGTGCCCCATGTCCCCATCACCCTGGGGACCTGCCCTGCTGGTGCCCCATGTCCCCATCACCCTGGGGACCTGCCCTGCTGGTGCCCCATGTCCCCATCACCCTGGGGACCTGCCCTGCTGGTGCCCCATGTCCCCATCACCCTGGGGACCTGCCCTGCTGGTGCCCCATGTCCCCATCACCCTGGGGACCTGCCCTGCTGGTGCCCCATGTCCCCATCACCCTGGGGACCTGCCCTGCTGGTGCCCCATGTCCCCATCACCCTGGGGACCTGCCCTGCTGGTGCCCCATGTCCCCATCACCCTGGGGACCTGCCCTGCTGGTGCCCCATGTCCCCATCACCCTGGGGACCTGCCCTGCTGGTGCCCCATGTCCCCATCACCCTGGGGACCTGCCCTGCTGGTGCCCCATGTCCCCATCACCCTGGGGACCTGCCCTGCTGGTGCCCCATGTCCCCATCACCCTGGGGACCTGCCCTGCTGGTGCCCCATGTCCCCATCACCCTGGGGACCTGCCCTCCTGGTGCCCCATGTCCCCGTCACCCCGGGGACCTGCCCTGCTGGTGCCCCATGTCCCCATCACCCTGGGGACCTGCTCCTGGTGCCGCCCCCTGTCCCCATCACCCTGGGGACCTGCCCTCCTGGTGCCCCATGTCCCCATCACCCTGGGGACCTGCCCTGCTGGTGCCCCCCGTCATCCCTGTTGTCCTGTCCCCACGCCCCTGGGGACTTGCATCCGTGCCCCAGGCCCCACGGGACTGTCATGGTCCCCATCAGCATCCCCAGCCTGGGGCACACCAGGCCTGCGGGGACCTGCCCTTCTGGTCCCCTCCTGGGCACTCTGGGCCCGGGCCGCTCTGCGGTGCCCCCCAGCATCCCTGTCCCCTGCCAGGAACGGGGTACCCGGAGCCGGTCGTGGTCTCTGCTGCTGGAGACGCCCCTCCTGGGACCGCTGGGGCCATTTCCACGTCCACTGCTGGCTCGTGTCCCACTGACGACCCAGCCCTCCCCTCACCCGCTGCGCTGATGGAGCTCGGCCCGCAGAGCCAGGGCTCGTCTGCAGACCAGGACGGACAGGGGCTGAGGGCGGGCGGGTTTCAGGCTGCACTGGGCCCCACGGCCACCCCACTGTGCCCTGCCTCCCTCCCCGAGCCCAGCCTGGGGGCAGGCGGCCCGAGGTCAGCCTTGCAAGAGCCCAGTGGGGCCTTTCTGACTCTGAAGGGGTTCTCTTCCCTTTTTTTCGGTTGAATTTTCGGTTTTCGCCTCCCAACAGGAACCAAATGTCGTGGCTGACGAAGAGCTGAGCGCCCGAGCCACCAAAAAGGGAAGTTTGTCACCCAGCAGCTCCCGGGGCAGCACGACCGAGTCGAGCACGCTGCTGCAGGAGCTGAAGAGCACCATCTCGTAAGGGCAGCGCTCGCTTTTCCCCGGGCAGCTCTTCCAGTTAATCTGAGCGTTACCGAATGTGGGCTAATTTAATAAGGTTGATTAATTTGCAGCCCCAGGGACCGAAGGGATAAGCGTTGCGGTGCCTTGCAGCTTCTTGCGTTGGCGCTGGCGCTGCAGAGTGGCATGGCCTCAGGCGTGCCCTGCTTGGTCCCGTGCTAGGTGCTGCACACAGAGCGCAGCCCCGCGCTGCGCTGCCAGCAGCTTGCTGCCCGTCTTGGGTGCAAAATCAACTCGGGGATTCATGGTAACGCAGTTTTGTCTGCTGTGACCCCGTGGGATGTAGTTTTACGTCTGCTCTGCTCTCCCTGGGGTTAGGGTAGAGCACGCAGCTCTAGAGCTGGGTTGTGGCTGCGCAGGGAAACCCAGAGCACGAGGAGAACGGGCTGCGCTGATCCATGGGTGCAGCCAGCCCTCGGCTCTTGGTGCTCCGGTCTTCCCATCTTGGCATTGCTGCTCACCCCGGGGTGCGCGTGTAGGGCCTGGGAGGGCCCAGGGACAGTGCTGTCCTCGGAAGCCCCGGGCAGCGGCTGTGGCAGAGAGCTGGGCGGGTTGAGGAGTGCCCTGGGTGCTGCGGTGTCGTCCTGCTCTGCGCTAACGCCTTTTGTCTCTGTCCCACACAGCAAATCCGTGCAGAGCAAAGTCGACTCCATCCTGGTGAGTGCCTCTGCGGCAGGTTGTGCTGAGGGTGAGGGAGCGACGCGTCTCCGCCTCCCTCCTCTCCTACCTAAACTGAACCCTGGGTTTTGCCTGATCCCGTTTCCCATTCAGGGTCAGGATCTGGCTGCGGGGATTAGCCCCGAGAAACCCCTGATCGCTCTGCCCAGGGGGTGGCACCCACTCCCCCAGCCCTGTGTGGGACAACCCTTTCCAGTCCCCTCGAGGGGCAGTTCCTGTGACTTCGTTTGCCCGGTTCCCTCGCGCTCAGGCCGTGTTCATGCTGACAAAGCTGCTCCGGTTTCAGTGCCCCATCAGTTATTGCCATTAAGAGGGTAACGAGAGCGCTGCCTGCACCAGCTCTTCCTTATTTTGGATCCTTAACCTTTCTTTGTCTCTGGTCCGTTCTCCCCCTCCCTGTGGACCCTTTGACCATATTCAGAAGTTTTCAGACAACGACAAGCTCTATCTCTACCTCCAGCTGCCGTCGGGGCCGAGCCTGGGGGAGAAGAGGTGGGTGCCGGAGCGAGCCGGGGCCGTGTCCGGGAGAGCAGGGGCTGCCAGGATGGTGGTGGGGGACACAGATCGCAAGAGGCCAGGAGGGAGATTGCCACGCTCTGCCTTCTCCTGTCCTGCTTGTGCCACTTCTCCACTAATTAAATGTTTGTCTCGGGCTCCCACGGGAGCAGCGGTAGCCTGGACCTGAGCTCGCTGAGCACGGCCGAGTACATGCACGCGTGCAACTGGATCCGGAACCACCTGGAAGAGCACACGGACACCTGCCTGCCCAAGCAGGACGTCTACGACGCCTACAAGTGAGCGCAGGGGCCGGCCTGGTGCAAGGAGTGTCTCTCCCCAGGGCCGGGCTTGTCCCGAAAAGCCCGGTGGGGAGGTCGGTTCAGAGGGCAGCAAGCGCCTGAGTTTTTTTGGGAATGGCCCTGCCTAACCTTGGGCTCTTGAAACAAGCCACGTCAGCGGGGTGCGTCCGGAGGGCAGCGAGAAGGGCTCGACGGCTTTAACCTGCAGCTCTCCCCGACAGGCGATACTGTGATAACCTCTGCTATCGCCCTCTGAGCACCGCCAATTTTGGCAAGATCATCCGGGAGATCTTCCCAAACATCAAAGCCCGAAGGCTGGGAGGCCGAGGACAGTCGAAATATCCTTCAGCGTGCCTGGCTGGCCAGGGAAGCCCGGGGAGCTGGCTGGACCGGTGGCGACAGCTGCTGCTTGTCCAGTTTTTCCCATTTATAAGTCTGTGCACGAGGAGGTATTTTGTAGTTTCTGAGAGGGTCTGGTTCCTGGTTTTTCGGCTCCTGAAGGTTCAGCTCGGTTGTCTGAGAGGGGCTTGGAGTTGTCCTGTCCTTGCCGTACACTCGGGGCAGCCTGGGGGTAGCTCAGGGCGGGCAGGGGGCATGCCGAGAAGGGGGCAGCCCGGCTCGGCGCGGGGCGCGCTGGCCGCACCCCGCCAGGACAGGACCCCAA